TCCATTTCTCGCGATTCCGAAGGGACGAGCTCGCAGCCCCCAATTTCGGTTCCGAAAGAGGAGTTCTCATTCCCGTCAGTCGACCCGATGGACCGTGCGGCTTTTTGGGAGTTGGGAGATGAGTCGAGAGCTGCTAGGCCTGGGACGTGGGTTCCAGCCTTGCCGGGCGCCGATCAAGCTTCCGGAGGCCCGAACCCGGTAATTTTCAACAGTGTTGATTTCATGCGGGAGTTTTGCCGAGTTCCGGAGGAAGTCGAATTCCGCCTTCCACTTGCGGGAGAAAGTGATAAGGCTGCGCCCGAAGGTTTTTTCACGTGTTACAACATGTTTTTGGAGCAATGTCATTTATGGTTTCCGATCCCAGAGATCATTATTCGGTATCTTCACAGGTTGGGGCTGTCGATCAGTCAGTTGACTCCCCACGGTTTAAAGCAGCTTGTTGGTCTTCTAACGCTGAGCTATGAGCGGGGAATTACCCTCAGCGTCGACCATCTCGAAGGTTTATTGAAGCCTACGGGGCAATCAGAGCGGGTCACTTTGTGCCCTCGTGATGGAATCGTTACCGGTTGTTCAATGGTTTATTCTTCTTGGAAGAAGAATTTCTTCTACGTTCGTATTGACAGCGCGTCAGTCGAAGAGGAGGGCATCCCGATTTTCTCAACCGTTTGGGGTCGGGCAGGTACACGACTCGAACTCGCACAAATCTTCTTCCCGCTTCTTCCTTTTTAAAAGAAATTTTATTTCCGTTTTCTGCAGTGACCGATCCTTTTCCTCCGCATTCGGCGGATCTTCGGAGTATCACTGCTTCTCTTAAACGCGGGGAAGCGGGCTGGTGCAGTTTTTCTCCGCAGCGTGTTCGCCGGGCGGTTGCCCTTTTTCGGTCTCGACTTTCTGCGGACTCTCCGACTCGCGAGGAGGATCCTTTTATAGGGGAGTTTATCCCGTACGTCCCCTCAATGAGGAGGGGTAAGTCGAGCTCCCGAAAGGATAAACATCCGGTCGTTGAGGACGATGGGTTTGAATGC